TGTTGGGCTACTTGTCGCCCTGTTGGGCTACTTGTCGCCCTGTTGGGCTACTTGTCGCCAATTGTTGGGCTACTTGTCGCCCTGTTGGGCTACTTGTCGCCCGGTTGGGCTACTTGTCGCCCGGTTGGGCTACTTGTCGCCCGGTTGGGCTACTTGTCGCCCGGTTGGGCTACTTGTCGCCCGGTTGGGCTACTTGTCGCCCGGTTGGGCTACTTGTCGCCCGGTTGGGCTACTTGTCGCCCGGTTGGGCTACTTGTCGCCCGGTTGGGTTCCTTTTTTTTTGGGCTCTTTGTTTCTTTGGCCGGTTTTCTTGTTCCTGCTTCCTCTTTTGGCTCCTTTTCTCGTGCAATAGTCCTGGCTGGCGCCTTCCCGCAGGGAGGGTGTGCGGTTCGGCCAGTGTGTTATGCGCATGCGCCGTGGAGTTTGTTTTGGTCTGGGCGGTGTTTCAGTGCTGGGGTTTTGCGCCCTTTTTTGCTACAGTGCTTCGCCTCTCGTTCTTCTCCCTGGCTGCGGTATGTGCCCCTTCGCGCCGGGGGTGTCCTGGTTCCCAGATGTGGGGAGGACACCGCGGTTTTCCCTGTGTCATGGGTGTGGACCGCCTCCTTCGCCTCTCCCTGTTCTCCTGCGGGTCCGGCAGGGTCCGGCTCTGGCGTCTTCACCTGGCGGTGCTCCCAAGTTCTTCTGGGCACGGTTGAGTCGCGTCAAGTTCGTGCCACCATTCGCCAGGTGAGTTTCTGCGGTCTGGCGTCTTTTGGCCGGGCGCTGGATGCGGCGGTGTTTATATACCTGTCTTTATTTAGGTATATTTTTGTACGACTGAGACCGTTCGCACACCAGTGACTGTCCCTTTATCACCCCTTCCTGTCCCCCTCATGTGCATGTCCAACCCATGCTGGAGTCATTCAGGGGACCCTCCTTTTTTAATGTTGTGAGGTGTGGGGGTTGTAGGGTTGGTTCTGTACTCACCTGGTGAGGCTCCTGGCTGTGCTTGCAGGATTTGAGCTCTGGCTCTTGGGTCCCGCCTATCTGGTAGAACTTGCGGGATAGTACCAGTGGAGTGCAGTGGTGCTATTGGCACTTTTGGGGAACACTGTATTACCATCAGTGGTCTGTGCTTGTTACACGACCTACTTGCGAGCATAAGCCTTCTTGCTGGTTCGTCCGTGGACTTCCAGGGCGCACTGGCCTGTTTTCGTATGGCAGTTCCGGCCCGTCCTGGTTGTCGGGGTATGTGGGCCGGTGGACTGCTCCTAGCAGCTGCCTGGTGGGCCATCCTCTGGCCGGTCTGGCCTGACCTTGGGCCGGGCTTGAGGTGTAAAAGAGCTCCCAGTACCTCATCCAGCAGGTATCGAGCGGGGTTTCTCCGCCGTCGGTCGCCTGGTGCAGGTTTCTGGGCCTGCAGGGTTTTGTCGTGTCTCCGTTGGCCCTGTCTGGGGTCTGCCTGCTCCGTTCTCTGCCTTTGCAGAGGGGAGTTGCTATTTACATGTTGCATGTTGCAGTGGTGCCTGTTGCTGCTGCTGCACGTGTGCATTGGTACCGTGTTTCACGGTGGCATGTCCTTGTTCCTGTGTCCGGTTGTGGAGTGGCACTTTGCTGCCGTTTTGTGCCTGGGGATTGCGTGTGGTTTTTGCCCCTGCCTGATTATCCACCCCTGGTTGTTCTCCTGGGTTTTTTTTTTTTTTGTGCTTCTGCTCTTTCTTCCTGCCTCCTCTGCAGCAGGGATGTTCTGCGTGTGTTCTTAGGCGTTGGTCAGCCTGTGTCCTGTGATGTGCTTCTTTGTCTCGGTCTGTTGCAGTTGTTCGTGCCCCTTGGTTCGGGTCCTGTTCTGGCGGCGACCCTTCCGCCTTCTTTGGTTTTCCTACCTTGCCCTGCCGGTTGTTGTTTTTTTTTTGGGGGGGGGGGGTTCTTGCGATGTCTCGCGTCGGACCCGTCGTTTCTGAACTCCTGGCGAGCTTGCATGCTTCGGGGAGTTTTTCTGATCGGCAGACGTTCCATCTCCTTGTGCCGCCTGGGTTTCGGTGGTCGCGCCCAAGATCTTCTCGCGGCTCCGCCTTTTTCCTGGGCTCGGGGGGGCCTTGTTGGGGCTGCTTATGTTCTGCCTCGTGGTCTCGCCTCCGGTTGGTGGTCGGGTGGCTTCGTGGTAGGTGTCCCACCTGCGTGCTTCTCTTGGCGGCAGTATGGGGTATTTTGGCGGTCCTTCCTTTTCCTGTCCCTTCTTAGGTGGTTCCTCTTGTTGGCTTGGTTTACTCTCGGCTTGGTTTTCTAGTGGGGGTTGGGGGCCGTCGTCTTGCCACATACTGTCGCCTCTTTTCGTGCGGCGCAGGCGGAGCCGCTTCAGCTTGCTTTCGGTCTTGGTGTTGCTTCTGCACCGTTAGTCAGCTGTCTTGTGCGTCATTTCACCTCCGGCCTGTTCGTGCGCCGCTTGCACCATCCTGGTCTCTGGTCAGCGTGCTCTGTCTTCTCCTCGGTTGGTAGTGCCCCTTCGGTTCCGGTGTGTTTTTTCGTCGGCTCTTTCCTTTGGGCCTTTGCCTCTGGGGGTCGGTTCGCTGAGTTTTCTTGCTCCTTCGGTTTTAGCGTTTTGGTTGTTTGATGGCAGCAGTCTCCATCTTTTCTGGCGCGGGGTGGGGCTGCTGCATTCTGGAGGGGTCCAGGGTTTGTTGGTGCTTCGTTGGTCGGGCCGGGGGTGTGTCATTTTTGTGTTCAGTGGCGGCCCTCCGCTGTTGTTTGCGTGCCACGGCGTTTGGGTCCGGAGCGCGTTTTGCGTTGATCCGGTTCTGTTCTTCCCGGTTCGCGGGTGATGGTGTCCCGGGTGGTCAGCCGTGTTCTTGCGGCTAAGCTGCCTGTGTTCTTCCCTCATGCCTGTGGCGTTCGTGGCTTCGCTGCTCTCGCTGCCGTCTGGGCGACGTGGCCTTGCAGTCTTTCGGGCATGGATTTTTGGTGTTCGTGCAGGGGCCTTGCTGCTCGTGGTTCTCATGTTGTTCCCGGGATTTTCGGGGCTGTGGCGCCTTGGGTTGGCGTTTGCTGCCGGTTGTCTCGCCTCCTTGGGGGGTGCGTGGTGTCCGCCTCCCGGTTTTGTCCCTTTGACCTTCCTCTGTGGGTAGTTAGCTCCGGGGAGCCGACGGGGCTCCCCCCAGAAAACCAGCGTTGAATGTAATGAAACGCCATTTTCTGGGTGAGACCCGGAGGCTCCCCGGCAACCCTCCCTCCCTCCGGTCGGCGTTTTTCGCGTGTTTTGACATCCAGCCTCAGAACTGATGGGTGGATAGCCGGCGTGGGAGGTCTGGGGCTCCCCCTTCCCCCTCCCGGGGAGGGGGGAGCTGCGCAGACAGCGGCGCGGTGACGTATGACGTCATACTAGTTTCCTTGTTTTCTGTTGAAGAGTTCTATTCACTAGTTCGGCTTAGGTAGCAATTTTCACCAGAATAGGGGTTTGTTTTGGAATGCTTACCTTTCTGGATGCTTGACCCGGTCGATGGCAGACATAGAATGCTTCCAACCACACGGGGGTTTCTATAGGCCATTGCTCCCCTTGCCTCTCTGAGGGGGCCAGGTTCTGGCTCGTGGTCCCCGGTAGGCCCTAGAACTCCATACACATGACTGATGCCAAAGTCTGACATTAGCATATCAGCCGGTAAAGCTCCGGGGAGCCTCCGGGTCTCACCCAGAAAATGGCGTTTCATTACATTCAACGCTGGTTTTTTTTTAGGGGAAATATTTTTTTAAGATTTTAGTTTTTTCTCCTTTGTTGTAACCTTTACATCGTGGAGAATGCATATATTTCCTTAACTATATAAAGATAGAATGACATTGGTCAACAAATAAATCAGTCACAACTCGCACAACTTAGGACTTTTAATTTTTGGGGGGCCGATTTTTTCTGATATCAAACTACAGGTATTTCCTTTTTCTCTTTAGGTTGTTTGGATGATTAGGGACCATATTAGGTCTTTTCACTTATATAAAAGTATACCCTAAATATATCCCCTAAATCATTATAATTATCCCTATACAGTATTTTGTGTTTTTGGGGGTTATTTTTTTCTTGACTTTGTTTCAACACATATTGACCTACAACTTTCACATATTTGAGTACAAATGCCAAACAATGTTCATTAAAATATACAATTAAATTAACGAATTAAAACTACCTTTATTCATTGTTGATAACTTCAACTTCAATTATCTCTGAAACTAGAGTTTCAACTTTTGAGTGTTTTTTTTAACCGATTCTCACTATTTTGACATATTGTGTGCTCAGCTGTCTGTTCTACAATCTCTTCAGAATGAATTTTTCATAAACTTTATACATTTGGAGTTAAAAAAAAAAATTGGTCTAAATTTGCCGCATATTTCAAATGCCTTATTAACGATTTTTTTTTACAGTAAACTATACTGAAAACCTATATTCTAATTTGATGAAAATGAAGATCAGATGCTATTCTGAGAGAATAACAACATTAAATGAACAATTGGTGATAGTTCATATTTTTTATTCTGAATTGAAAATCTGAAATTTTCAATATTAAATTTTAAAATTAATTTTGATTCTCTTGTTTTTCAAGTTATGTTGTGAACATTTATACAAAGTTGGAGCATTTGCCTAGTTTATTATGCCAAAAAAATTGGAAAGTGTTTGTGCAAGTTTTAAAAACTTTATATAAAATTATTTTATGTCAAATCATATACAGTATGTATGTATTACGCTGTTGAAGTGTTAATACTCATTCAAAATAATCGTTATTATATAAATACAGTATAGTGACAGTCAATCAGCTCCCTTGGTACACTTTCCTCAGTACATTAAATTATCTGCATACTTAACAAAATTCTTTTCCATCCCTAAATACTTACACTAAGTGGGGGGGAACTTCTGATACATTCATATGGTTATTTTTGTTTCATATTCGTTAATATTGATGAAGTCCCCAACATACTTTCCCTCAACCTATACCCTTGCCTTAATTTATTAACTACAATATTAGATTCCAAATATACATTACCTGCAACGATGGTGACAGGTCCAATAATCTCCGAGAACCTCTGATTTGTATAATTTCTTATCAAGCATCGCAAGAGGGTTGATTTTCCAACTTTAGGTCCGCCCACAACGGCTACAATTACAGGCGGTGGCTCTAATGGTGTACGGTCAATGAAAGGGATGTGATGCTTCTTGGATTTAATATCTTGGGACCTGAAATATGAATCGAATGTGTTCTCAAATATAAATTTCTTATACCTCTTAGTAAATGCATAAATTAAGATACTAATCCTGCTTTTCAGTATGTTGGTGTCTGGCAAGCCTTTGAACAAATTTGCACGTCATTTTTCTAATTTGCTTCATTTGTCTAAAACAAACCTACAACTGACAAGTTGCACCTTGAAGGATGAACTAGATACAGTCTGACTGCATGAATAAAATCAAGAAAGCTGTGGCAAGGACGGCATACCTTATAATACAATGCTTCATGAGAAAAGAGTGTAATGAATATAGGTTTGTGTAATAAGCAAACCAGCACCAACAACTGAAACAGGAGTGAGCTACATTTTTACAGATTATGAAGACTCTCACATGTATCATTTCCACATTCAAAAGTGGTGGCATGGCTGACACTCCACCAACAAAGAGTGAAAACAACAGGAACCTATAATGTAGGCACAAGATTTTAACCATGCAGCTGCATCATGAAAAGCCAAATAAGAAGCAGCCTAGCAGAGCACAGCCAAGCTCTGATACCATTCACAAATTCAAACCCCCCCCTGCTCTCAAGAAGAACCATGCTGGATACAAGATGGGTGGCCATCAGGGTTGAAATACTAAGAACTGCGCTACAGAAAAACTGCATACAGTGCAGCAAACTCAGACTGAACACCAGTTGGAGACACTATAGAAAGTTAGACTAGCCCAACTGGAGGGCAAAGCCCAAAGCAGCAGCTTAATTGCAAGAAGCACCGATAGGATGGTGCAAGGATAGCCTCAAACTGAACAAAGCAAAACAAAAAAATCATTTTTAAATCTAAAGCATCATGCAGTTCCACAATGGTGAATGGAATTACACAGCCTCAATGTTTGTGTAAAAGAGACCAGCACTAAGGCCCAGGCCCGAGACAAATTTCCAAAGGTGCTGCCTGGCCCAAAAGGGCCCAGACGACACTGAAGGTTAAGCCAGACAACTGCACTGAAGATAACTCTAAAGGCCATTAGTCCCTGATAATCACTGTCAGGGAAGAGAATCTTGAAACAAAGCTGAAACAGATACTGAGTGTCCTTAATCTTTAAGGATTAAGGACACTCAGAATATAGCTAAGGATATAAGAACACTTTATATCATTAACTATAAGGATATAAACACTTAAGGACACTAAGGATATAGTTAAGGTACACCCGGTATATAGACAGACTCAAAGAAAAACAAGTCAACTGACTTAGGGCCTCTGTAGAGCTTGGTGTCGTGGGCATATGTCAAGTTACAAAAATACCTAACTATCTATCTACAGTAAGTATTTCATATAATGATTTTATGTGGTCATTTATAATTGTTATGTGTGATTGTGAGAGTTTTCAACCCCACCCAAGACACAGTTAACATATATATAACTGTACTTTATAGTTTCAATATGTTACACATATACATCACACTTACCTTGCAAACTTCCTTTGAGCTTTAACTGCGGAGTGAAATGCAAAGGCCTTAGGATTACGCTGCTGAGCTGTTAATTCCTGGACATGCTTATCCTTGGCAGACTTTTTCTCGGCTTTACGTCCTGAGTGGCGGTGAGCATGACCTTTCTTTTTATCAAAATCAGCCTCTTCACCCATTTTAGCAATCTACCTTATTTATCTGTAACAAAAATGAAGCACAAAGAAATTAGGAATTGTTCAGTGCAGTACAGAGCATTTAAATAAGCCAGCCATACAGCACTGAGGGGCTCTGCAGTATAGTGGTCTACATCCTCAACTCACAATCAAGGATCCTGGAATTCAATCCCAGGCTGGACAGAATTCGAAGGACACATTTACTTTCACCTGATGCCTCTGTTCATCTATCGGAAATATGTAACAGGAAATTAAGCGGTTACTAATAAATCCAAGGGACATTGGGATTTATTTCTCGAAGCATTGGTAATAAAACACCTGATGTCATTCTTCAGCTATATCTTGCTCTTGTTAGGCCCTATTTAGATTATGCAGTTCAGTTTTGGTCGCCATACATCCATTCAAGTGAATGGATATAAATTCACTAGAACGCATCCAGCATAGGATGACAAAGTTAATCCTGTAAAAAGGTATAAATTGGACAAGTTTAGATTTAGGAAAGACCTGGGTAAATACTGGCCGGTAACAGAGTTGTTGATTTGTGGAACCAATTACTGCATAACATAATAGAAGTAGGATCCCTTGATTGTTTCAAGCGTAGGTTAGACATGTATATGAATGAAATTGAGTGAAAATAAATAGGAGTTGCCTTGTATGGGACACGAGGCCTTCTGCAGTTATCTTCATTCTTACATTCTTATAAACCCATGGAACTGCCTACTCGCCGAAGCTGTAAATGCCAAAACACTGCTGAATTTTAAAATTCAGCTTTAAGAAATCATCAGGACAAATGGGGGACCTGTGACAGCTTGCTGTCCTTATCAAGGTTGCTAGAGAAATAACAGCCCTTGGGTAAATGGTCTGCAAACGAATGTAAAATCTACCTTTCTTTACCTCACCTTACCTTAGCCTACCAATCTTAGTCTAACATATGACCAAACCACACACCAGAAGACGAAGAGATGACAACATTTCAGTCTGTCCTGGACCATTATCAAGTCAATTGTGACATAAGCTAATACCAATTTAGGTTATGTACAACCATAGCTTAACATCACTGAATGATATGTACGATTTTAACCATTAGAAAGAGCCTTGTCAAAACTTCTTTATGTTTAAGAATACTGCATCCCAAAATTACTCCTCTGGATCCTACAAGTTGGCAAATAATGGCATAGCATGTCACAAACCTCTGGCACACAACACGACACAAAAATTTATTATAATTAGTTAGTTTTTAAATAGTATCAATGAAAAGAACAGCATCACTTTGGCCAGTTTTTAAACCCCAATTTGACAGTCATCCGTCGGGCGAAACGAGGATGTGACAGCTTATGCAGAGTTCATCATTTCCATGATTTTCGATTTAATCCCGTGACCACAGCGCTTTCTCCTATGTGGCCCGGTCTTCAGTGCTGCTCAGAACCGCTGACGACTCCCTAACTTAGTTAGGGAGTCGTCAGCGTTGTGACACCTAGTTTTACTTATTATTATTGAATTAGATACAAGGTTGAGCTTAAGCTTTACATTCATGCAAAGCTCGCTAACATGCACTATTGAACCACACAACTGTTCGCGATGTTAACAGATTCACGAGGTGAAAACTACGCATACCAGAGTCACAAGATAATGGATAATGGGCGCACAGTGGCTTCTCTGAGGGCGTGTGTGGCATGAAGGTGCAGGAGGGTAGAGGCGCAGCGCCATACACACACGTGCCTCGTGTTGTTGTTGTCGTCCAACACCTGACTCGCTAACTTGTCCACATCTCTCATAAACACTCCTATATTGGCAAAAATGACCACTTAAATTGAACTACTTATTTGATCATGAATACACATAAATTGTATTTATCGTTGTATTTGCATACATACTTCCACAAAAGAAATAAAACAATATTTTAACATAGAGCCGAGGCTTTAGCGATTAAGAACCTAAATACTTTTAAGTTAGTTTTATAATAATAATAATTTTTATTCACAAGAAGATACAATGATTTATGAGATTACATATGATTATTATTTTTACATTCTTGCAAAGTCATTAACACCATAGCGTCTCGGGCAGACCGAAAAATCTTTTTTTTTTTTTTTTTTTTTTTAGATATATACAAGAGTTGTTATATTCTTGTACAGCCACTAGTACGCGTAGCGTTTCGGGCAAGTCCTTAATCCTATGGTCCCTGGAATACGATCCCCTGCCGCGAAGAATCGTTTTTTCATCCAAGTACACATTTTACTGTTGCGTTAAACAGAGGCTACAGTTAAGGAATTGCGCCCAGTAAATCCTCCCCGGCCAGGATACGAACCCATGACAGCGCTCGCGGAACGCCAGGCGAGTGTCTTACCACTACACCACGGAGACTGCATTAATATTAACAAGCTTAGTTGATTAACAGTTGAGAGGCGGGACCAAATTAAGAGCCAACGCTTAAGCCTCGCAAGCACAACTAGGTGAGTACAGCAATGTCCTGGTACCATATTAAATATGAAAGATTACAGAATGTAGATAAAAAAAAACTAGCTATAAGTCCATCTAATATCCCCCCTAAACTAGGTAACTTTAATTCAATAAAGTAAATACGTGGAATTAGGATAATTTCTCACCTTGTGTTCCAAACTCACACACAGGTATCTTGTGCTACCCCCTTCATCTAATTTTAGTACTTAAGGCATGAAACTTCACCAGTATATTCCATTACAGGCTATTCATGCCTGTGCCACCTCTTGGGTAGCTTAATCCTTATCAATCAATCAACAGTATATTTTACGGGCTATTCATGCCCGTGCCACCTTTAGGGTGGCTTAATCTTCATCAATCAACCAGTATATTACGGGCTCACCATAGCCTGTGCTATTTGCAACTTTTTGTTCCGAGTTGCTGAATTTAAAATAACAACACCAGTATAAAAATAATAATAATAATAATAATAATAATAATAATAATAATAATAATAATAATAATATATAATAATAATAATTTATTTAGGAAAAGTACATACATAGATGCAGAGTTACAAACATTCTGATTATTTATAGACAGAACTAGTACATACAAATACCTTAAGCCACTAATAGCGTTTCGGACAAGGTGTGGAAGGAAAAAACACTTAGACTAAAACTTAATAGTAATTGAGCTTAAAGTTTAAATTCGATTGAAAGAAAAAGTAAAAGATAAAAAAGGAGGGAACATGGTAGAAAATAGCCAATAAACAAGTTGGCCAACAAACAACATTGTTTAAAAATAGTAAGACGGGCTGACATTTAGGGGGTAAGGTAAGTTACATGGAGTTAATTAGGTAGTACTTAGACTGCTTGAGAGAGGTACAGTCTTTGACATGGTTGGGAAGGTCATTCCACATTCTGGGTCTCTTGATTTGTAGAGCATTTCTAGTTTGATTAAGTCGTACTCTTGGAATATCAAATAGGTATTTGTTTCTGGTGTGGTGCCCATGGGTTCTGTTACAACCTTCTAAGAATCTTTAATCTATACTATCAACTTATAAAGTAGTTATTGTGTTGAACTCAAATTCTGCTACAATGTACAGTACCTATGTTACTTTTGTCAGTTATAAGTTAGCTTAATTGAGGCCCTGCCCGAAACGTTATGCGTGTCAATTTGCAAGAATGTAATGCTTGAACACCAATGTTGATACCTGGTTGATGGGGTTCTGGGAGTTCTTCTACTCCCCAAGCCCGGCCCGAGGCCAGACTTGACTTGTGAGAGTTTGGTCCACCAGGCTGTTGCTTGGAGCGGCCCACAGGCCCACATACCCACCACAGCCCGGTTGGTCCGGCACTCCTTGAAGGAAACAATCTAGTTTCCTCTTGAAGATGTCCACGGTTGTTCCTGTAATATTTCTGTTAAGCACCCTCACAGCCCAATGTACCTTCTAATAAATAAATAAATGTTTTCAAGCTTAATTTAGGAACTGTACTTGTGGTCGGTCTCGAGCCCATTGTTGGTGTGACGATGTGCATTGAATTTTGTAACTAGCTCATCACGATTGTAACTTGCTTAGCTAAATCTGCCCGAAACGCTTTGCGTAATAGTGGCTTGAGGCATTGTATGTACTAGCTCTATCTATAAATTCCTCAATATTTGCATCACACCCTGTATGTATGTACTTTACCTGAATAAACATTTGAATTTTGAATTTGAAATGAATTGTGGAGTTCAGTCCCTGAGCCCATTATGTGCCTCTGTAACCCTTTCCACTACCGCCCACAGGATGGGTATGGGGTGCATAATAAATGAACTAAACTAACACAAAGAAGGTTAAATAATATCTCAATACCAACACAATTAATATTTGAAACATATGAAAGGAATTAATTAATTGATGTCCTATTAACGTGCTTGTCAAAAGGTCCAAACTCATTTGTCCTGAGGATTTTATCGAACTGGAGTTTGAAATGTAGCAGTGTTTTGGAACACTGCTACAGGTGGTTCCAGGGTTATTACTTATGGAAGGTGGTTCCAGGGTTATTACTTATGGAAGGTGGTTCCAGGGTTATTACTTATGGAAGGTGGTTCCAGGGTTATTACTTATGGAAGGTGGTTCCAGGGTTATTACTTATGGAAGGTGGTTCCAGGGTTATTACTTATGGAAGGTGGTTCCAGGGTTATTACTTATGGAAGGTGGTTCCAGGGTTATTACTTATGGAAAGTGGATCCAGGGTTATTACTTAAGGAAGGTGGTTCCAGGGTTATTACTTATGGAAGGTGGATCCAGGGTTATTATTTATGGAAGGTGGTTCCAGGGTTATTACTTATGGAAGGTGGTTCCAGGGTTATTATTTATGGAAAGTGGATCCAGGGTTATTACTTAAGGAAGGTGGTTCCAGGGTTATTACTTATGGAAGGTGGATCCAGGGTTATTACTTATGGAAAGTGGATCCAGGGTTATTACTTAAGGAAGGTGGTTCCAGGGTTATTACTTATGGAAGGTGGATCCAGGGTTATTATTTATGGAAGGTGGTTCCAGGGTTATTACTTATGGAAGGTGGTTCCAGGGTTATTACTTATGGAAAGTGGATCCAGGGTTATTACTTAAGGAAGGTGGTTCCAGGGTTATTACTTATGGAAGGTGGATCCAGGGTTATTATTTATGGAAGGTGGTTCCAGGGTTATTACTTATGGAAGGTGGTTCCAGGGTTATTATTTATGGAAGGTGGTTCCAGGGTTATTATTTATGGAAGGTGGTTCCAGGGTTATTACTTATGGAAAGTGGATCCAGGGTTATTACTTAAGGAAGGTGGTTCCAGGGTTATTACTTATGGAAGGTGGATCCAGGGTTATTATTTATGGAAGGTGGTTCCAGGGTTATTACTTATGGAAGGTGGTTCCAGGGTTATTATTTATGGAAGGTGGTTCCAGGGTTATTACTTATGGAAGGTGGTTCCAGGGTTATTACTTATGGAAGGTGGTTCCAGGGTTATTACTTATGGAAGGTGGTTCCAGGGTTATTATTTATGGAAGGTGGTTCCAGGGTTATTACTTATGGAAGGTGGTTCCAGGGTTATTACTTATGGAAGGTGGTTCCAGGGTTATTATTTATGGAAGGTGGTTCCAGGGTTATTACTTATGGAAGGTGGTTCCAGGGTTATTATTTATGGAAGGTGGTTCCAGGGTTATTACTTATGGAAGGTGGTTCCAGGGTTATTACTTATGGAAGGTGGTTCCAGGGTTATTACTTATGGAAAGTGGATCCAGGGTTATTACTTAAGGAAGGTGGTTCCAGGGTTATTACTTATGGAAGGTGGTTCCAGGGTTATTACTTATGGAAAGTGGATCCAGGGTTTTTACTTATGGAAGGTGGTTCCAGGGTTATTACTTATGGAACCACCTACCTGCGGCTTCAGCGGGTAGGCGGCTCCATGGGTTTATAACTGTTAGTGAAAAAACATCTCACGTTTTTCTGTCCTATATTATTTAGTCTGACTCTGGGAATATCAAAGAGATTTATTTCTGGTGTAAATGCTCATGAGTTCTAATACAGCTATCTTGGAAGATTAGTTTAGTTTAGTTCATTTATTATGCACCCCATACCCATCTTGTGGGCGGTAGTGGAAAGGGTTACAGAGGCACATAATGGGCTCAGGGACTGAACCCCACAATTCATTTAGCTAAGCAAGTTACAATCTTGATGAGCTAGTTCTTGGAAGATTAGAATTTAAAAATAAGGTTTTGTAAGTGTAAAAAGCACAAGAGATCGTGTGGAGTGAGTAAGGTAAGGTAATTATCGGGGAAAGCGTCAAGCCATTACGACCATATAGCACTTGGAATGGATATGAGGATAAGGATTTAGGATAAGACGGGGGGGGGGAATGGGGTGCCCAACCACTTGCACGGTCGGTGATTAAACTCCGACCTGCAAGAAGGGAGACCTTCGCTCTACCGTCCATCCCAAGTGGACTAAGTCGCAGCCTGCTTCTCCACCTTGTGCCAACCACTTGGCCTGGACGGTAGAGCGACGGTCTTGCTTCATGCAGGTCGGCGTTCAATCCCCGACCGTCCATTAGGTTGGGCACCATTCTCCCCGGCCCCCTATCCCATCCCAAATCCTTATCCTGATCCCTTCCAAGTGCTATATAGTCGTAATGGCTTGGTACTTTCCCCCTGATAGTCCCTTTCCCTTCCCTTTCCATCTTGTACACCAGCCTCCCATGAGGAGCAGCGTCAAATGCTTTCTGACAGTTTAGGACGCTACAGTCTATTCAATCACCTTTTTTCCTGCCATTTTTAGGT